AGAGGTGGTTAAATGATGAGAGCTAAGCTCTGAAAAAGCTTAGGTACAGCAGTTTTAAAGCTAAGTGTTTAATATAAAGCCTATTGAATATAACTATCCCTGGTCTTGTTTTTTGTTTTTTGCTCTGCCCCCCTCACCTCTATCCCTTGTTTTTCACTATTTGCCAAAATTGGGTCCACAACCTCATAGCCCCAGTGAGGAAACTGAAACTCAGAAGAGTTGGCTTTTTTGGGTGTTATATGTGTTTTTATTTTGAGACAGGGTCTCTCACTCTGTCACCCAGGCTAGAGTGCAGTGGTGCAATCTCAGATCACCTTGACCTTCTGGGCTCAAGCAATCCTTCCTTCCACCTCAGCCTTCCAAAGTACTAAGATTATAGGCATGAGCCACTGCATCCAGTCCCAGAGGAGCTTTGAGACTCACTCAGAACCAAGAAGTGAGCTAAGGACTACATCCATTACGATGGCAAGCTGACGATGAAGATCCATTATAATGTTTACATTTGTGGCTCTCAGCCAGCAGCAGGACCATCTGTCTATGATGACTTACTTCTTCATGAAGGTTGCCAGTTCCCTGCTTTCCACAGTCCCCTGACCCAAGGCAGAATGCTGCCCTGCTCAGGAGTGAAGGTAGAGGGAATCATTAATCAGAAAGCTCCTGACATTCACCATTACTCTTACTCTCCTCCTTCTGAGTGGGTGGAAATCAGTCCAGAGAAAAAAAATCAACCAAGCAATTTCAATTTCTTTGACATCTCACATCAAGCCATGAGTATTTTTCAGTAAAAATTTTCATTGAGCCTTTTTTTTTTTTTTTTTTTTTTGAGATGGAGTTTCACTCTTGTTACCCAGGCTGGAGTGCAATGGCGCGATCTCGGCTCACCACAACCTCCACCTCCTGGGTTCAGGCAATTCTCCTGCCTCAGCCTCCTGAGTAACTGGGATTACAGGCACGCACCACCATGCCCAGCTAATTTTTTTGTATTTTTAGTAGAGACGGGGTTTCACCATGTTGACCAGGATGGTCTCAATCTCTTGACCTTGTGATCCACCCGCCTCGGCCTCCCAAAGTGCTGGGATTACAGGCTTGAGCCACCACGCCCGGTGAGCCTATTTTATTTAAACTTGTATTTTCATAAATAATAGCTATACATATTTGTGGGGCACAATGTGATGTTTTGATAGATGTATGTACATTGTAGAATGATTACATCAAACTAACATGTTCATCACCTCACATACTTGTCATTTTTTGTAGTAAGAACATTTAAAATATACTTTTAGCAATTTGAGGTATATAATATATTATTGTTAACTATAGTCACCGTGCTGTTCAACAGGTCCTGAAAATTTATACTGGAACTTTGTGCTCTTTTTTTTTGAGACAGAGTCTCACTCTGTCACTCAGTTTGGAGTGCAGTGGCACAATCTCGGCTCACTGCAACCTCTGCCTCCTGAGTTCAAGCAACTCTCCTGCCTTGGCCTCCTGAGTAGCTGGGATTACAGGTGCGTGCCACCAGACTGGTCTAATTTTTGTATTTTTAGTAAAGACAGGGTTTCACCATGTTGGCTAGGCTGGTCTCAAACTCATGACCTCAAGTGATCTGTCTGCCTTGGCCTCCCAAAGCACTGGGATTACAGGCATGAGCCACTGCAGCCAGCTGAAACTTTGTACCTTTTGATCAACATCTCTGTATTCCCCAACCCCATTCCCATCCCTGGCTTTTAGTAACCACCACTCTCTTTTCTACTTTTGTAAGTTCAATTTTTTTAGATTCCACATATAACTGAGATCATGCAATGTTGTCTTTCCATGCCTGCTTTATTTCACTTAATACAATCTCCTCCAAGTTCATTCATGTTGTCATAAATGACAGAATTTCCTTCTTTTCTAGGATTGAATAGTATTCTGTTGTATATATATGACATTTTTCAGACAAATGTAGAACTTTTCCCATTTTGTTCTAGTAGTATGTTAATTTCAGGTCTTATGTTTAAGTCTTTAATTCATTTTGAGTCGATTTTTGCTAATGGTATGAGATAAAGGTTCAATTTCATTCTTCTGTATATGAATATCCAGTTTGCTCAACACCATTTATTGAAGAGACTGTCCTTTTCCCACTGTGGAACAAATAGCCAAAGCAATCTTGCACACACACACAAAAAGCTGCAGGCATAACATCATCTTACCTTAAAATATATTATACAGTTATAGTTATCAAAACAGCATGGCACTGATCTTAAAAACAAACACAACACATCAACCAATGACAGAATACAGAGCCCAGAAGTCAATCCACCGATTTAAGGTCAGTTCATTTTCAAAAAAGATGCCAAGCCATGAGTTTGGATATCTAAAAATTATAGTACTAGAAGGAATTTAAAAGCTCATTATTCCAACCTTTTGCCCAGATTGTGATCTCAGCTCAATGAAACCTCCACCCACTGGATTCAAGTGATTCTCCTGCCTTAGTATCCTGAGTAGCTGGGATTATAGGCATCCACTACCACACCTGGCTAATTTTTGTATTTTTAATAGAAACAGGGTTTCTGCCAGGTGTGGTGGCTCAAGCCTGTAATCCCAGCACTTTGGGAGGTCGAGGCAGGTGGATCACAAGGTCAAGAGATTGAGACCATCCTGGTCAACATGGTGAAACCCTGTCTCTACTAAAAATACAAAAAATTGGCCGGGCGCGGTGGCTCAAGCCTGTAATCCCAGCCCTTTGGGAGGCCGAGACGGGTGGATCACAAGGTCAAGAGATCGAGACCATCCTAGTCAACATGGTGAAACCCCGTCTCTACTAAAAATACTAAAAATTAGCTGGGCATGGTGGCGTGTGCCTGTAATCCCAGCTACTCAGGAAGCTGAGGCAGGAGAATTGCCTGAACCCAGGAGGCAGAGGTTGCGGTGAGCCGAGATCGCGCCATTGCACTCCAGCCTGGGCAACAAGAGCGAAACTCCGTCTCAAAAAAAAAAAAAAATACAAAAAATTAGCTGGGCATGGTGGCACATGCCTGTAATCCCAGCTACTCAGGAGGCTGAGGCAGAAGAATTGCCTGAACCCAGGAGGTGAAGGTTGCAGTGAACCGAGATCGTGACATTGCACTCCAGCCTGGGTAACAAGAGCGAAACTCCGTCTCAAAAAAAAAAAAAAGAAAAGAAAAGAAAAAGAAACAGGGTTTCTCCATGTTGACCAGACTAGTCTCAAACTCTTGACCTCAGATGATCCACCTGCCTCGGCCTCCAAACTGCTAAGATTACAGGCACGAGCCACCACGCCCCTCCTCCAACCCTTTCCTTTAGGTTGAAAAGTGCCAATTGATCCGAGTATGGTGGCTCTTTCCTGTAATCCCAACACTCTGGGAAACCAAGGCGGGTGGAGCACTTGAGACCAGGAATTCGAGACCAGCCTGGCCAACATGAGAACTTGGAAAGTAGATCTGCACAGCATCAAGCATTGTCACACATAAAAATTTTGATTAGCCATTTAATCAAAATTCTATTTCACTCTTTATACAGAAATGGGTTTCTGCATTTCCTTTCTGCATATTCCCCATTCTCTATGTTTATGTCCTGGCAGAGATAAGAGTCAGCCATTGGCCTCTGGAAGATTCTGAGCCGTCAGAAAACCTAATGAAACAAATACCTTTTCTCATATAGGCCATGTTTCCAGGAAATCGTGGCCTGTACTAATACAACAGTCAATGATTATTTTCCAAAAGTTGTTGGAAAAAGTGCTCTGAGTACAGATCCCTAGATGCAAACTTTTTCATAAATGTTCAGGGAGTAAATAGTGTATGTTTTCCACGCATCTCTGTCATAGTAGCTCCAAAACAGTTGCAGAGAGTATATAGGTAAATGAGCAAGGCTGTGTTCCAGTAGCATCTTGTTTATAAAACACCTGCCAGAGAACATTGTTTCTCCCTACTTGTAATCTTTCCACATAAGAAAGAAACTTCTAGGCCGGGCGCAGTGGCTCAAGCCTGTAATCCCAGCACTTTGGGAGGCCGAGGTGAGTGGATCACAAGATCAAGAGATTGGGACCATCCTGGTCAACATGGTGAAACCCCGTCTCTACTAAAAAATACAAAAAATTAGCTGGGCATGGTGGCGTGTGCCTGTAATCCCAACTACTCGGGAGGCCGAGGCAGGAGAATTGCCTGAACCCAGGAGGCGGAGGTTGCGGTGAGCCGAGATCGCGCCATTGCACTCCAGCCTGGGTAACAAGAGCGAAACTCCGTCTCAAAAAAAAAAAAAAAAAAGAAAGAAACTTCTGGGTGGCCGGGTGCAGTGGCTCAAGCCTGTAATCCCAGCACTTTGGGAGGCCGAGGCAGGTGGATCACGAGGTCAAGAGATCGAGACCATCCTGGTCAACATGGCGAAACCCCGTCTCTACTAAAAATACTAAAAATTAGCTGGGCATGGTGGCACGCGCCTGTAGTCCCAGCTACTCAGGAGTCTGAGGCAGGAGAATTACCTGAACCCAGGAGGCAGAGGTTGCGGTGAGCCGAGACCATGCCATTGCCTGGGTAATGAGCAAAACTCCATCTCAAAAAAAAAAAAAAGAAAGAAAGAAAGATAGAAACTTCTGCTGGGTGCAGTGGCTCAAACCTGTAATCCCAGCACTTTGGGAGGCCAAGGTGGGTGGATCACCTGAGGTCAGGAGTTCGAGACCAGCCTGACCAACATGGAGACACCCCATCTCTAATAAAAATACAAAATTAGCCAAGCATGGTGGCACATGCCTATTATCCCAGCTACTTGGGAGGCTGAGGCAGGAGAATCATTTGAACCCTGGAGGTTGCAGTGAGCCAAGATTGTGCCATTGCACTCCAGCCTGGGCAACAAGAACAAAACTTCATCTCAAGAAAAAAGAAAGAAAGAAACTTCTCTGTCCTTGCCCCTAGTTTCTACAGTCTCTTTTTCTAGTTGTCCCTCACTTGCTTCTCACCTATGTTAATTCTTGTTTTGTCCATTCTCCAGGTAAAAGTGTCTGGGAGATGGAAAGGGTCAACACCACACTGTTGACTGCATTTATCCTGACAGGAATTCCTTATCCACTCAGGCTAAGGACATTCTTTTTTGTGTTCTTTTTGCTGATCTACATCCTGACTCAGCTGGGAAACATGCTTATTTTAATTACTATTTGGGCAGACCCAAGGCTCCATGCCCGCCCCATGTACATCTTTCTTGGTGTTCTCTCGGTCATTGACATGGGCATCTCCTCCATCATCGTCCCTCGCCTCATAATGAACTTCACTTGGAGCATCAAACCCATCCCATTTGGTGGCTGTGTTGCTCAACTCTATTTCTATCACTTCCTGGGCAGCACTCAGTGCTTCCTCTACACCCTGATGGCCTATGACAGGTACCTGGCAATATGTCAGCCTCTGCACTACCCTGTGCTCATGACTGCTAAGCTGAGTGCCTTGCTTGCAGCCGGAGCCTGGGTGGCAGGATCCATCCATGGGGCTCTCCAGGCCATCCTAACCTTCCACCTGCCCTACTGTGGGCCCAATCACGTGGATTACTTCTTCTGTGACATTCCTGCAGTGTTGAGACTGGCCTGTGCTGACACAGCAGTCAACGAGCTGGTGACTTTTGTGGACATTGGGGTGGTAGTTGCCAGTTGCTTCTCCCTAATCCTCCTCTCCTACATACAAATCCTTCAAGCTATCTTGAGAATCCATACAGCTGAAGGGCGGTGCCGGGCTTTTTCAACCTGTGGAGCCCATGTAACCATGGTCACTGTGTACTACGGACCCTGTGCCTTCATCTACCTGAGGCCTGAAACCAACAGCCCCCTGGATGGGGCAGCCGCCCTATTCCCCACGGTCATCACTCCTTTCCTCAACCCCCTTATCTACACTCTACGGAACCAAGAGGTGAAGCTGGCCCTGAAAAGAATGCTCAGAGGCCCAAGAACTAAGAGTGAGGTTTGAAAGTGTCTTTCTCCCACTAGGAAAGCTGCCACATTTAGAATTTATTATAATGTTTAGACTTCGGTGACATTTTTTTCTTCTTGCTTTTTCTCGTTTACAGAGCCATATCATAACAATGCAAAATCAAACACAGTTTAAGGTAAAATATTAACTTTCTAACAGTGCCTTAGTATCCTCTCAAGATAGCTCAAATGGCCAGGCACGGTGGCTCACGCCTGTAATCCCAGCACTTTGGGAGGCCGAGGCGGGTGGATCACAAGGTCAGGAGTTCGAGACCAGCCTGGCCAAAATGTTGAAACCCCGTGTCTACTAAAAATACAAAAATTAGCTGGGCGCGGTGGCACGCGCCTGTAATCCCAGCTACTCAGGAGGCTGAGGCAGGAGAACCGCTTGAACCTAGGAGGTGGAGGTTGCAGTGAGCCGAGATCGTGCCATTGCACTCCAGCCTGGGTGACAGAGTGAGACTCTGTCTCAAAAAAAAAAGGAAAGATAGCTCAAAATACTGCTACGAGAGTAGAGAATGAGACCAAATTCTCACAAACTAAACCACATTAAACAATCCAGAAGAAAGACTGCAATAATGTGTTTTCAAATGTCTCAGTAATAAATTCCCCCACACCAAAACATAAGTTCAATACGATATTTCCCACTGAAAGAAAAGAGGGCCATTGATCAGGGCACTGGGATAATTTATTCAAGACAGTATTTCATAGCAATTTAGATTTGTGAGGTTGACATCGTTTCACTGAGTTGGCCAAGGCCTAATAAATATGGACAACTTTGGCGCAAATATCTCTGGTTTCAACTCCTTCACACCTCCAATCTCATTCCGTTATGCTTCTGCCTTCTAAATTGGATGGTTGCTTTGTCCATGTGATGAAATCATGTTATCTTTATGTAAAGTCTCTTGGAAATGGTAAACAGTCAAGTTTGATCACACGAATGTTCAAACTTGGGGCTTAACTGAAGGACTCACACATTTTCCTAATTTATATAGGAGACAAAAAAGTAACCATTCTCCCTGGGATAAAAGCTGATCCACACAATTTCTTGATATTTTTGTCCAGAGAACAGACAATACTCTAAGTATCAACTTCCTCAAACTAGAATATTTTTAAAATATCTTGTTTTTTTACAGCGAATATGTATTTTATTTAGTCATTTTGCTTACAACTGGAACTCTGGGAATTCAAAATTAACATCCTTGCCCATGAGCTTCTTTTTCTGTTGTTGTTGTTTTTGTTTTGTTTTGTTTTGTTTTGTTTTTTGAGACAGAGTCTCACTCTGTCACCAGGCGCCAGGCTGGAGTGCAGTGGCACAATCTCGGCTCACTGCAACTTCTGCCTCCTGGGTTCAAGCAATTCTTCTGCCTCAGCCTCCCAAGTAGCTGGGACTACAGGCACACGCCACAATGCCCAGCTAATTTTTTTATTTTTAGTAGAGACGGGGTTTCACCATGTTGGCCAGGATGGTCTCGATCTCGACCTTGTGATCCGCCCGCCTCGGCCTCCCAAAGTGCTGGGATTACAGGCTTGAGCCACCGCGCCCGGCCTGCGAGGCTGGTCTTGAACTCTGGAATTACAACTGTAAGCCACCGTGCCCAGCTAAAAATTCACTTTAACAATACAGGCAGGTTGAAAGTAAAAGGATATCCAGACATGGTAGCTCACACTAATCCTGGCACTTTGGGAGGCCAAGGTGGGCGGATTGTGAGCCCAGGAGTTTGATACCAGCCTGGGCAACATAACCAAACCCTCTCTCTACAAAAACACAAAAGAATTAGCCATGTGTGGTGGCACCAGCCTGTGAGCCCAGCCGGCTACTTGGGAGGCTGAGGTGGGAGGATCACCTGAGCCTGGGAGGCAGAGGTTGTAGTGAGCCAAGATTGCACCACTGCACTCCAGCCTGGGCAACAGTGAGACCCAGTTAAAAAAGAAAATACGCCAGGTGTGGTGGCTCACGTCTGTAATTTTAGCACTTTGAAAAAAAAAAAAGAAAAGAAAAGAGAGAGAGAGAAAAGAGGAAAAAAGGAAGGGAAGAAAAAAAGGGAGGGAGGGAAGGAGGGAAAGAAAGAAAAGAAAAAGAAAGGAAGAAAGAAAGAAGAAAAGAAAAGATTATTGCTCGAGCCTGGAAGTTTGAGACCAGCCTGGGCAATATAGTGAGACCTCCTCTCTACAAAAAATTAAAAAATGAAGTGGGAGGGGAGGCAGAGCAAGATGGCTGAAGAGGAGCAGCTCTGGAGCGCAGTGAACCGCGCAGAGGGTGAGTTATCTCTGCATTTCCAAACAAGGTACCAGGTGCATCTCAGTGGGACTGATGGCACAGTGTGTGTAGCCCAGGAAGGGCGAGAAGGCAGGGTGAGGCGCTGCCTTACCTGGGAAGTACAATCCCCGGAGGACGCCCCTCCCTTCCCAGGGGAGGCCATCCCGGGCTTTTCCATCCTCTCTAGCACTCCGGTTCAGATACTGCGCCTCTCCCGCAGTTTTTAACCGCCGGCAGACCAGGAGATTCCCCTGGCCAAAAAGCACCAGAAGTTTCCAGCTCAGCTGTTTCAGCCAGCGCTGCAGGTTTCTGCACAAAAACTCACACAAATCTGGGCATCCATTTCAACTTGGCTCCTGGAAAGCCTGGGAGACATAGCCACCCATTCAACTGAAAAACAGGGTGCTGAAAGCAGGGAGCCCGGTGATCTGGTTCGGAGGGTCCCACCCCTACAAAGACTGGCTATCTGAAATGCTTCGCAGCAAGCACAGCTGGACCCCAGACGGTCAAGCTCTGTGAGAAGGGCGTCCGCCATTACCAAGGCAGTCCGGTCCACCATTACTGAGGCAGTTCGCTGCTGAGGCTGTCCGGTCCGTCATTACTGAGACAGTTCGCCGCTACTGAGGCGGACCATCTTTCTCCAATTTGCATACTAGCTGGACCTAGATTTTCTGAAAAGATTTCAGTTGAGGAACAAGAATAAAAATTATGATAGCTTTCTGACCACCACCAACTTCAGTTTCCTTGGCTGCCATGATATTCAGCTCCATGAGCTGAGCCTTGAGGTTCCGGTTCATCTCCAGCTGCAGAAGAGCCTGGGAGATGCCGGACTTGAATTTGTCTAGCTTCTCACCATTTGGCTTCACAGTCTTGGGGCTGGAACTGAACGTGGCTTTCTCCTTGGTGAGTGCCAGATTAGGAAGAGACTTTTTTTTTTTTTTTTTTTTTTGAGACGGAGTTTCGCTCTTGTTACCCAGGCTGGAGTGCAATGGTGCGATCTCGGCTCACCGCAACCTCCGCCTCCTGGGTTCAGGCAATTCTCCTGCCTCAGCCTCCTGAGTAGCTGGGATTACAGGCACGCGCCACCATGCCCAGCTAATTTTTTGTATTTTTAGTAGAGACGGGGTTTCACCATGTTGACCACGTTGGTCTCGATCTCTTGACCTCGTGATCCACCCGCCTCGGCCTCCCAAAGTGCTGGGATTACAGGCTTGAGCCACCGCGCCCAGCCGGGAAGAGACTTTTAAAAATATCCTAATCTTGCCGGGCGCGGTGGCTCAAGCCTGTAATCCCAGCACTTTGGGAGGCCGAGGCGGGTGGATCACGAGGTCAAGAGATCGAGACCAACGTGGTCAACATGGTGAAACCCCGTCTCTACTAAAAATACAAAAAATTAGCTGGGCATGGTGGCGCGTGCCTGTAATCCCAGCTACTCAGGAGGCTGAGGCAGGAGAATTGCCTGAACCCAGGAGGCGGAGGTTGCGGTGAGCCGAGATCGCACCATTGCACTCCAGCCTGGGTAACGAGCAAAAACTCCGTCTCAAAAAAAAAAAAAAAAAAAAAAAAAAGCCGGGCACGGTGGCTCAAGCCTATAATCCCAGCACTTTGGGAGGCCAAGGCGGGTGGATCACAAGGTCAAGAGATCGAGACCATCCTGGTCAACATGGTGAATCCCCGTCTCTACTAAAAATACGAAAAATTAGCTGGGCATGGTGGCACGTGCCTGTAATCCCAGCTACTCAGGAAACTGAGGCAGGAGAATTGCCTGAACCCAGGAGGCGGAGGTTGCGGTGAGCCGAGATCGTGCCATTGCACTCCAGCCTGGGTAACAAGAGCGAAACTCCGTCACAAAAAAAAAAAAAAAAAAAAAAAAAAAAAAAAAAAAAAAAAAAAACAGGCTAAGAAGGGAGTTAGAGTGCTGGCTGGGGTGATTGACCTAGACTATCAAGATGAAATCAGTCTACCACTCCACAATGGAGGTAAGAAAGAGTATACATGGAATACTGGAGATCCATTAGGGCATCTCTTTTTTTTTTCTTTTTTTTTTTTTTTTTTTTTGAAACGGAGTTTCGTTCTTGTTACCCAGGCTGGAGTGCAATGGCGCGATCTCGGCTCACCGCAACCTCCACCTCCTGGGTTCAGGCAATTCTCCTGTCTCAGCTTCCTGAGTAGCTGGGATTACAGGCACGCGCCACCATGCCCAGCTAATTTTTTGTATTTTTAGTAGAGACGGGGTTTCACCATGTTGACCAGGTTGGTCTCGATCTCTCGACCTTGTGATCCACCCGCCTCGGCCTCCCAAAGTGCTGAGATTACAGGCTTGAGCCACCGCGCCCGGCAGGGCATCTCTTAGTATTATCATGCCCTGTGGTTAAGGTCAATGGAAAACTACAACAGCCCAATCCAGGCAGGACTACATATGACCCAGACTCTTCAGAAATGAAGGTTTGGGCCACTCCACCAGGAGAAAACCCAACCTGCTGAGATGCTTGCTGAAGCAAAAGGAATACAGAATGGGTAGAAAAAGGTAGTCATCAATATCAGCCATGACCACATGACCAGTTGTAGAAATGATGACTGTAATTATGAGCATTTCCTCCTTCTTTTGTTAGAAACATGTTTGTGATGCATATACTTGTACTAAGAAAATATCTTCATTTTATTGCCTTTCTCTTTTATCATGTGACTTAAGATTTACTGACTTCACATCAGCATTTAAGTATTGTTAACTTTATATA